CCAGTTCAGAGTTTTTACTAATATATTATGGTAGGTATTATTTGTTCTGAAATAATAAACCATTTTACGTTGACGAGTTTGGAATGTCAGTTGCTGAGGGGTATAAATATCGTGCTCTACTACTTGACGGCTTAGTAAACTCTCTTTGACTTTCAGATAAATTCCCCGTGCTTGTCTTTCGCTCATGTCACAGCTAAACTCTCCTTTCATTGCATTTCACTTGCGGTATAGCTAAATCCTCCGTTCTCGTTTTCCCAGGATCCAATTGAATAGGACCTATAGCACTATGATCATTTTCTTTAACTAGGTTTCAGAATAATCCTAGCAGCCCTATAAAAAATTCACCCCGTAAAATTACGAGGTGTTTCCCCTGTAAAAACACCGTAATCGGTACAAATTACAGGTGGGTACAAGTTTTTACATACACCAAAAGTGTTTTTGGTGGGCCACTACTTTCTAATGCAAATTTTCGATTTTCAGGTCAAAGGGATTTTGGTTATTGAAAAATCTAGAAAATGCCAAAACTATAATTTGTAACAGATTATAGGGATTTTACAGGTGCCCTGTAAAAACTACTGCAAAATTTACAGGTGGTTATAGATCGAAATTTCTCATAGGACAGTGCGTGATTGGATCGTGTTCAAAGTTGTCTACTTTAACTGATAATTGTAGTGTTTCATATCATTGTTCAGGACATAGGTTACGCTGTCTTCAACTGCGCCGTTTCTTATACCCATGTAGCTCTGGTTCGCGCCAAGTTAGCGCAGTTCATTGATCTTTTCAGGTCTGTCTTCCTTTTATTCGATGATTATTCTTTAGTACTTTAACTTTAAAATGGTGACGCAAATATGATTTACAAATGAAAGTTTATGAAGAAAAACTATGAATGAAGAAGTTTTAATAGTGCGCGGTTCATATATATGCATGGTAATCGAACTTTTAGTTTCAAACTGTTTATCCATTAAATACAATCTTCGTTGTAATTCAAACCGAAACTAATTCTATAATAGATTTGTTTTTTCTTGATATAAATACCATTATTTGTTCGCATCAATGAAAGCACGGGTTTGGGAATCACGGATTTTATGAACCGGGTCGCAAACGAGTTCCAAAATAGGTTCGATTAATGTATTTATTGATGGAAAGTATTAAAATAAATCTTCCTTTTATTAGCGAAAAAATCATTGACTTTTGTTAAAAATAAATAATATTGTAAGCTTAAAATAATATTCATAATGTCACGAAACTTTGCATTTTCATATATTTTAACGAGATTATCCATAAAAGATTGAAATAGCATTTCTTTAGATTAGGCAATTTCTAAATTACGTAGCGATATTTTAACGGTAAATGTTACTTAGTTACGTACTTCCAGATGTTACGTACATTAATACAAGATGAATTACTAATCGAAAAAACGGAGCTTCTAATCCATCTGTTTTGTTATGCAAACAAAGATAACGATAAACAACTTACGAGATATTGTCACCTATATTTAGCGAATGTTTTCTTTAGAACATGAAGAAACAGTTTGAAATATGAAAACATGCCTAACATTATAGATAGCTATCCTTTATTAATACGAAATAGAATTCATCAATATTTTTTAGCTTATTTATGCGCTATTTTTATAATGGATAGTGAGATTTTGATTGGTACTCAAAATTAACTGAAAACAAATGAACAGAGATGTTCGATACAATATATTCTTGGTTCCGTTATCAAAGTGACATGAAAACTCGAGAAGGCGAAAGCGTCGAGTGATATTTGAAATTTGAGAAGGTAGAAACGTTGGTGGAGAATGTAATCTTGGATTTTGTTATTACAGTAAGGGAACTTATAGAAAGCATTCTCGTTTTTCCAGCAAATGGCTGAGTCAGAAAATATTAATATTATCTGCAGAATGTTATTTTCAAGGAGATATAAATTAAAAATCTGAAATAAGATACGCAGAAATCTAATCATAAGCGTTGATCCCTAAAAATACATCTCCTGTTATTAATAAGTTTATATTATGTTTTGAGAATTTTATAAACACGCATTTAATTCTCGTTAAAATTGTGTGTTATAGATACAGAGTCATTCTCTGAAATAAATTCGTGGTGCATAATTGATTATTGTAAATTGGCGAGACTTTTTTTTAGTTTATAATTATTTTTCTTTTGTGATGAAAAAGGGTTTAATATTTGTATACCACATAAAATAATGAGAAGATATCAAAGAAAACTACAAATTTACAATAAAGCACTTTCAAACAGATAATACCACAAATACATGACATGTACTTAATAGTTTAAGCACAAAAAACTAGAGATTTTGGAGATAATCAGAATTAATCTCGACATTGTGTGTTTTGTTCATTAAAATTGTCTTATATTCTTGTGTAAAAAGAGGAGCAAATATCTTTGATCAATCTCACAAGTAAAAACACACAAAAATAGACTTTTCCAAAGAAATTTTGTCATATAAAAAATATCAGAATATAATAAACTAGAATTTACATACACAATGTATGTGATGTATGTGAAGCACAAAAGGGACAGATGCATATACAGAAATTAATAAATTTAGTTTTGGTGACGTCGTTGCTTTAATTGAACTCAATTTATTGATATTTACCTAGACCGGGTAAACTCGATGTACACGTATTTTTATGTGCTACTCTAATCTAATATTATCGAATGATAATATTCTCTCTAATTGATGTGTTCAAATCAGATCGATTATTAAAAAGTTTATTTCGTTTGAGATATTAGGTCTTCTTGCGCAATTTGGTACAAGAGACATATCCTTGTGCTTGACGCGCTAGTATACAAAAAAATCCTGTATTGGGTATGCTAATTAACGTTAGTGATGTTTTTATTGGTGAGACATTTGCAATTTCATGCTTGTTAAATATTTATTGTGGCTGTTTATTTTTTGTTGCAACTATTTTTGGTTAAGATTTGCCTTCTTAGATTTCCATTTTCAGTTGCAACTCATTCACAATGACCATTTCTCCTTCAGAAAAGTCTTCAAAACCTTATTAAACCCTTAAAAAGGATCTTACATGGCTTAGCAAATATTTTTGATTAAGACTAATGGGGAACTTCGTAAAATTTCTTTACCTGCTACTTTTAGGGTTTGGTAGCTTTCAGTTAACCTCATTCACAATGTCCCATTTTTCCTTTTTCGGAAGTCTTCAAAAATCTTTAAAGCCTTGAAAATCAATTTCCGAGCAATACAGCAATACGAGTGGTACGTTATTTATGCGGGCCACTGTATATAACTTGATCTTTTTTGTGTCATTTCAAAGATTTGATTTTTTATTTTTTTCATTACAAAATTAATTGAAATAAGTTGAAAATAATCCAAATCGACTAAACTTATTTTTCTAGTAAAAAGAAAATGAAAATAATTTATAGTTTCTTACTGTTATCGTGTTTGGCGTTTTTGATCGCGAAGTCTATTGCTGAACAACAGGCAACGTCAGAATCTCATTTGTTATTTTTTTGAAATAACTTTATTTTACAATATTTAATTTACCAATTCGACCATTTATATTTAAAAAGTGCTCCTATAACACCTATCTCTTATAGACGTAAAGGCGCTACAGCTAATTCCATATCCATGACTACTAGTAACACAAGGTAATGGTGTGCTAACGATAATTCTAATATTAATAGCAAACAATAACAACAACATTAATAACAATAACAACAACAATAACAACAATAACAACGATAACAACGATAATAACAATAACAACAACAGTAATAACAATAACAACAATAATACTACAAGTAATGAAAATTCTTCAAAGGAAATAAATTTCAGGAACTCTTTTTCTTCGTTGAAAGATTAAAAACTAGTTTAATGTATAAATTTTTTTTGTTAACATTTACATGCGTTACATTTGACTTGATTATTAATTATCATTACTTGTACAGCACAACAACGACACCGACGCAAACGATGTAAGATATTTTTTACTTTTATTGTTTCTCTGCATTGCACGAGATTAAAACAAACTATGATAAAACTAATCTCTTTGATTTTATATAGGAACTGTAACAAACGTCATCGGCGTCACAACTGATGTAAACAAACCAGCCTCACTTACTACTACTACTCAGAATATTGATAATGTAGGCGGCTCACCTTCGAATGCTGCAAGTAATAATGTTTTTACAATTTTGAGGAATGTTGTGGTTAGGTTGGTGATGATTGTTGGCATGGGTTTTTGGAACATTTTATAATTTATTAATTTATCAATTAATTAATTTTTATATTGCAACATAATATATGTAATATCTTATTTCGCCGAACAAAATTCCCCATTGCAATATACATGATTTATAAATTTATAACAATAACAAAATATTTTGTTTTTTTCATTTGCTAATTAATTTTCGTATTATCATGTGATCAAAAATTCGATCCTTCAGTAAAAGGTTTTTCAAAAATGAAATTTACAGATACATATCCTATTTCTATCTCTCATATATATATAAATGTTTTTAAACTAATACATTATTGGCTCTGCATATGGCTTTAATATTGCTTTGATTTCTCAAGGCATTGAGCCTACAACCTTCTCAAAAACCAACACATCGAATTTTAATCATGCATCCTTCAGAGTAGTCTTGAGCTTTTTCACGATTCTTAAAAAGCTTTTACATTTTTGAATATGTTTGTGAATGACTTGCAGATATTTCTATGAAGTTAGGATCGTGAGAACATATTAATTGTCGATTTTCTCTATTTGAATCTTTTTGACTTCTTTTCCCAAATTATATTATGAGAAGGGACAAAATTACCTTATATAAGCTTTTGCGAATTTTTTATTATCAATGTTGTGAAATGGTTCAGGATATCTTTTTTGGTTTCCTGTATATGTGCATTTTTTTCTTGATTATTAAGAGCTTATAATCTTTCAGATAGTGGTAAATTTTCATTTTTCCTATTACTTTTGTATTTGACAAGAGATCATTATATATCATTAGGTTATGATACATTTTTCTTGTAGCTTGCATAATACTTATAACTTTAATAAAAATTACTATTTTATTTTTGTTAACATTGGCCAACTGATATGATAAATATTATTTTTACATCTCACAAAATTTTTGTAACAAATCTATAATTAGTTATTAATATTAGTTCATAAACTATTACTGTGCCATATAACTATATCATATATGACTTACTGCACCATGATCACCTGATCTATACCAAGGTAAGTCATCCTGTATAATGGGTTATTTTAGTTATAGATAGACTTTTTAGTAAAATATCTTTTAACTCTTGTTCTACTAGCTAGTGTATTATTCTTTTTATATTTTATTATTTATAATTATTTATTTACTTATTTAACCATTTATAAGTATCTTTCAGAAGTACTAGAAAATTCAATAGAGACAGATCTATCATATGAATAAGAATACAACATGTTCTTTTGGGATGGTTATGATATGGCACGAGTTAATTATTTAAGTTTTAAAGATTGATTTTATCATAATTACATCTTGATTTTTCTTTTGGTTTTTGAGATTTTTCAGATCAATATAATCATAATTAATAGTGCGAGAAAATAAGCCATCATATGTGAAAAATTATTAAAGAACTTAATTCATGTATATGCGAACACAGAAATCGTAATGATTTTTCTCCGATGTTACCAGATTCGCATTATTGTATAGCGATAGCTAGATGTCGATTCATGTGATTTCGACCAGACACCAGCTCTCAGAAACATGTACAACGCTGTGGCTTAATGTGGTGTAGATCCAAGTTCTCGAATTGCACATTTAAAAAGTTTCTTTTTTGTATAATATCGATATCTCTGGGTTTGTTAGTTTTTACTACATGTAATAGGTTTAATAAAGTGATTTCGTATAAGTTAAACGAGCAAAGCTAAATATAATTATCTGTTTTATTTTTAATATATCGATATTAAGTAAATTATTTATCTATAATTATTACCGTTACTTACACTATATAAGTTATTGCGTATATAAAATCAATATTACATGTATAAATACCCAAAATTACAGATTTGTTCCAATGAGAATTAGCTACTAAAATCATTACCACCACCAGCTCCACGAACACTCTCAAAAGAGGTTACTTTGGGACTACCTAAACCAGATCCGGGCGCTGATCCGATATGTAAAGGTTCTTTTGCTGTAGAAACAGGAGTATTGTAAATCCCGGTTATATCTTCTTCGCGAAGATTTTGTGATGCAAATATATCGCGGTACAGATCACGGTACTGGAATGCGTGGTATGTTCGAAATATGAGATTGTTGATGAGGATTATCGAGGATGTTACAAGTGTTAGAAAGGGAATGATGTCGTATACGATTGTATTTTTTTTGTATATGACCTATAGACATGTAGTGCACAGCATTTGTTAATAACTAATTTTAACGCAATAATAAATTAACTAGATTCAATAAAATTTATTATTACTTGTATAATAAATTGTGGAATATCTTCAATAAACAATGTAATAAAACTCCCTGCAAAAATCCACCCAGTAGCTTTTATCGAAAACGGGGCACTAAAAATCTTCAGTCCAGCGAATTGTGACCCGATTATTCTCAATGCATCGATATCAGCTCCACTGACAATAGTGACAATTGTAGTAATACGCGTATTCGTATTTAACCATTTTGAAAATTCATAGTTTTGCGCGGTTTCTCGGAGTATTGTTAGGAATGCTAAGATTCCATTGAATGTCACTGAGAGGCAAAGGATGAGAATACTGTGCATAGCGGTGTATTGGTTATCATTTAAAAATATTAGGTTGACAACAAAATGAAATAAGATTTGATAAATTTATTTACCTTGGATAAAATAGACCTTGAACGTCTTGCCCGTTGTTTACGATAAAAAGCATATCAAGTGTGAAATCCACAAGAATCAATGTGAATTGAAAAATAATCGAATTATTTCCCTAATCAAAAGATATTGTAGGTTAAATAATATTAAGCTTTATTATGCTCGATAAAAAATTTTAACTTACTCCTGGATACAGAAAACGAGCAACCAAAAATGCCGCGCATACAAGTACTATTCCACCACACACATAAACAAGTTGATATTTGTACTTTTCCCATAAATTTGCTACACGAAAATAAATATGTATTTAAATATCTTTAATTCATAAATATCGAAGCCAAATTAAAAATACAAACTTGCAGGTATAAATCCATAAGTCTCATCAAGCAAATAAGTAGAATTTGATAATGATATCGGTGTATAAGCTTTAAATCGCACCAAATTATCAACATCTGTAATTATATGCTTGGTATTAATTTTTGAATTTTTGGATGCTTCAACCTTAAATTCCATGAGAACTTGTTGTGTCTTAGCGTCATTCTGCCAGCGGTTTGAGGTGCTGAGACGATTTGCTTCAATTGGCGTGATTCGGGATAATTCATTGCTGATTTCTGTGAATAGTGAATTTATCTCATTGTTTGATAAACTTTTAAAGTAGTCAGAACCTTCGCGAGTTAATCGAAGTAGACAGGTTGTTCCATCTAAATGAAATATTTTTATGTTATTAAATATTAAGAAATTAAAATTTTTAGAATAATTTTATACCTGAATAACTGTCGGCGTAATTATCTAATAAAAATGTAAAAAAGTTATTAAAATAACCTAAAGAGTTAAGAAAAACAGCGTGACAAAACAACTAACCACTGTATAACCGATACTCGTTCTTCTCAATCCCACGAATCGGCTCATCAAGTTGCTTATTTTTCACAAAATTATTATCCATTAACACATAGTAACTAGCCCCCGGTTGGTTAAATGTACTCTCTAAAATTTGAATAGAGACACTAGATGCGTTATCTGTCGTTGACGCCAATCCAGATAATCCGTAAATTGTTTGACGTAATAAATCTTCTCCATTTATGCCTGTTTGGTAGATTGAGATATTACCAGTC